GGCCTATAATGCCAATGAGCTGTGCTGTCAGGGGTGTGGCCTAATGTGCTAATGGGGTTTGCTGTTGGGTGTGGCCTATTATGCTAATGAGTTCCTGCTGGGCTTTTTCTACAAAAAGAGCCCTGTATAGATGCCATACTTCTTTGTATGTGTATCTGTAACATGCTGCCAAGTCGAAACTGACTTATGGTGACCCTGTAGGCGGGTTTTAAGGCAAGAGACCTTCAGAGGCGGTTTGCCATTGCCTGCCTCTGCGTAGCCATTTAATTTGCCATTGCCTGCCCCGGACTTCCATCCAAGTACACCATCCAAGTACTTACCAGGGACAACCCTGCTTCGCTTCCAAGATCGGGTCAGGACAGAAATGAACACAGGTGGTTTGCCATGGCCTGCCTCTGCATGGCAACCCTGGGCTTCCTTGGTGGTCTCCAGGGGTCATTTCGTAGAAAAAGAGGAGCAGGAGCTCATTAGCACAACTCATTAGCATAACTCATTTGCATATGCCATACCCATTGACATCACCGGAAGTGTGTCAGAAGGCAACACCCACCGCTCAGGCTCCACTGGACTGTTTTGGATTTCTAGCTATGGGTGGGGGACGGACGGATGTGCAGATCTGTCCTCACAGAGGAGGAAGAGCTTGTACCTGAATAAAACTTGGTCTTAAAGGTGCCACTGGACTGTCTTGGACCAGGGGGCCGGGGGGAGCTCTGCAATTTACCTGGCTGCTTCTTGCTCTGACTGAGGGTTGCTGGGAGCAGGGGGCGGGGCTTGTTGCATGTGCCCGTCCCCTGGGCTCTTTACTGCCGGGGCTCCGCTCCTGTGCGCTCCTGCAGGAAATGACCCCTGGTGGTCTCCCATTCAAGGACTAACCACGGCCCGCCCTTCTTTGCAAGACACTCAACCTCAAGAAATCTTTCCTTGGCACAGAGAAGTCTCAATAGAAGGAGCAAAAATGGGTTTTATCAAAAAGACGGGCGTGTCGAGAAGACGATGAGAAAGCAGCCGCCCAGTTTAGCCAGTGCTAAGAAAAGCTATTCTTCCAGCCCCTGTTATATAGAAACACACAAGGGTCATTTCATAGAAAAAGAGGTGCAGGAGTTCATTAGAATAACTTATTTGCATAATTTATTTGCATATGCCACATCCCCTGACATCACCAGATTGTACCATATTACATGGTCCCATCTTGTTATGTTTTTTTCTCTTTTGAGAAAATGTAATAAAATATTCATTTAAAGGGCGGCGGGGGGGGGGGGAGAAACTGGATAAAAGGAAGTCCTTCTTCACCCAAAGAGTGATTAACACATGGAATTCCCTGCCACAGGAGGTGGCAGCGGCTACAAGCATGGACGGCTTCAAAAGGGAATTAGATAAGCATATGGAGCAGAGGTCCATCAGTGGCTATTAGCCACAAAGGATAGATAGGGACTCTCAGTCTGGGGCAGGTGATGCTCTGTATTCTTGGTGCTTGGGGGAGGGGGCAACAGTGGGAGGGCTTCTAGTGTCCTGGCCCCACTGCTGGACCTCCTGATGGCACCAGGTATTTCTGGCCACTGTGTGACCCAGAGTGTTGGACTGGATGGGCCATTGGCCTGATCCAGCACTGGCTTCTCTTAGGTTCTTATGTCTGGGGCAAGGGATGCTCTGTCTTCTTGGTGCTTGGGGGGGGGGGCAACAGTGGGAGGGCTT